CATAGCCTTCCTCTTATGGTCCTCAATATGCGAGCCATTGATCTGTTGGACGGGACAACCGGGCAATCCTTTGCCAAACAGACCGGAACTCCACTTCAAATACTCTCTCAAATATTTGCCATAATATATGTCATCACTTTTGGCCAAATCGATGCGATCGGCCGACACCTTATGGCTGGGGTTCACAGACAGGGCACCGGTATATGTGTTCAGTTTGACACATCCCACGTCCTCTTCGGTGGGGATGCCGTCGGGGAAGGCGATGGGCATCAACTGAATCAAGTGCTTCACCCGCCATAAGAGGCCATTGAAGTGCGGAGTGTTGGGCACAACCACTCGGATGTGGCACTCCTTCTGATGTAATCCCAAGTGACTCAACACATACTTCTCGTGCCTCAAGACAACAGATAGTGAGTGAATGGTTGCACGCATTCAATGGCTCATCACTGATACATACCATGGGATGTGAGTCATAGTCTTGTACCTCCAGACCAGATGGAAAGGCGAGACATCCGTGTCTTTGAGGTCCAGTTGTCTGATTTGGTTGATCTCATTGATGGTGTCCTCGATGGCGCCTTTGTTGATACCAAATGGATATCTGTATGCCTTGGTGTGGTCCCTCTTGTAATCAAAGGGTCCCTTATAAGTGATCCTATAGTTGAGGAATCGCTTCTGGATGTGAAATATGGACACAAAACTCATTGCAATTCAATTCAATTGCATTTCATTTGCAAATTGTTTTCAATTTTCTTGTTTTGATCGTCACTTCAATTACACCAATGATGTGCCGGTGTTTGCCATTCAATGCTATTGCAGTCTATGTGAGGGGCGCTCAACACATGTGTCGTATAGTATTAAAGGCCCTTATATTTAAAACACATGTTATTTGCATTTTGTAAAAAAGTTGACCTAGGTTCATTTGCCATGTTTATGGTACAGAATATTCTGCTTATAATTTTTGGACATCATTTGGAAGTCATTTTAGCATATATTATATTTAATTGACTTTTAACCAGTTGATAATAACTGGTGATTTATTACAATTAATTATTAAGGTCTTTGTACCCGATTACTTATTTTGATTAGCAAAAGATTTCAGACAAATAATCTAGCTAGATCTAGGCCGGGTAGTTTTATTTAATTCCATTAATTTAAATCATATCATTGTTTGACAATGGTTGTCGTTAGTTCGTAATTAATTTAATCGCCAATAAACCTATGTTTCGTAATATATTTTGATATATAGGAAAGTACTAACCTGGTTTTGTGCACTTCAATTGATTTGTCGTTCAATTTATTATTTTATCTCATAATTCATAATTTATTTCTCAATAGCACTTCATTGTCTGATAAATGTCTTAATTAGATGATGAGAGGTATTACAGGTGTGAGTAAGTCTATAGTCAAGGGAAAGAGATTTAATCCTATACTTTAAACTTTAAACTAAGACATGAGAAATATGATCTTGATCTATGATCTTAAATCGAGAACTTTTTAGATTTGTTTTCTATATAAATAGTCCAAACAATTACAGAATTTCATTCACATTCAACAGTTATATTCAAATAACTTCTAAACAGTAATTAATACTAAAACTCAATCAAATGAATACTTATATCGTATTAAGTCTGCTGTTTGTGGGCCTCAA